TCAGTGCCTCCTCTTTTTCCATTGGTGCTGATGCACATGGCCCATCCTCTCATCAACAGCACATGGGAGCTCAGTCGTCACTAGCATTTTGCTTCGCCTCTCTTTTCCTCCTCCATCTCTTGCCTCTTGCTTAAAGCCCTTACAAAGGAGTAACGCAACCTTAGGTGGTCTGTGTGAACTTCCTGCTTGTAAGGGCTCCCAGCCAGCTAGCCTTTAATCTTTTGCCCTTTTCTTTGAGTTTCCAGCTACAGTTCTACTCTGATGGAACATTTTCTGAGTGAGCTGCAAGAATGAATTAATTTTAGCCTATGCTAATAAGAGAAGGATCACATAAAAGCACCTCGTTTCTGAAAGGAGGCTGGAAAAGCAATTTTTTTTAATAGGTCTTCATACATAAATGCCTAATTACAGCTATGTCAGGTGAAAAAAATCATTACATCAAACAGTCAGCCAGCACTAAGAGAAAAGATTCTGTAACAACACAATCCAGGATTCACTCCTGAAATGGTGACATTTGGAATGAATGTCAAGAAGTGGGTACATTTAAGGAAAAAATAGATAATACTGCAAAAAAGAGTTCTGAGTGAAAAAAGAGCAGAAACTTTAAAGCTTGTAACCAATTGTTATTGCTGTTGTCTGAAGCATATTTCCTTTTAGAAGCAAGATATAATTTTGATGTAAATAGGCAAACCTTCATTGGACCATCTCTAAAACTGATGGAGATTTATTACCAGGGACTTAAAAGCAAGAATATAGGGATGTATCGAATTGAGGGACTCACTCTAACCGCAAAGAAGTCTTTATGTCAGATTAGAACAGACCAGGCTGTTGAATGTTCATTTAAAAATAAATAAACCCTATTTTAGACTAATCTCTCTGCCTCAAATTCCCCCTCCCCATCTGCCCTAAAGGTCATGTCTCACCATGTCAGCCTATAATTCTGTTGCTCCCCATTGTCTCTGCCATTTAAACCTCGTCTCCATCCTCTCTTTCTGTACTTGTTCCACAACAGCCCCTTCCATGCGAGCGATGATCCAGCCACATGGGCCCGTTTGCCATTCCTCACATATGGCAGTCCATTTCCCATCTTGATGACTTTGCACTTTCTGTCTCCTATGACTGGAACATGTGATTTCTACACTTGTTTCTTGGAAATTCTGTTCTTCAAGCCAGTACAAGCACCTCTTGCACAAGGCCTTTCTTGGTCCCTACTCCAGCCCCAGTTATAGATGTTTCCCCTCCAAATTCACCTTGAATCTCATTTATATGTTAGTCAGCAAGCATTTATTAAACACCTTCTATGTGTCAGGCACTGTGTTATGTGCTGATGATACAAAGAAAGGCCAGAGACAGCCCCTGCTCTCAAGGAACTCACAACTTAGTGGAGGAGAAAGCATGTTTATTGAATGGAGTTGGTCAGATCTGCATTTAAAGACCAAATTGACAGATGAGTGAAGGGTAGACTGAGGTGGGGAGAGATTGGAGGCAAGGAGACTGACCAAAAGGCTATTATGAGCATGAGATGATGAGGGCATCCCCAGTGGTGGTATGTCAGAGGAGAGAAGAGGGCACAGAGGAGAAATGTTATGAAGTTATAAACAATATAACTCAACAATCAATTGGATATGGGGTGGGGAGAGAGAGTGAGGAGATGATGACCCCTAGGTTTCCAACCTGCGTGACTGGAGAGTTGGCGATACTCTCTACAAGAAGACAGTTGGGAAGGGGGGACGGGCAGAGAGGGAGGGAGATGAGCCCAATGTTGGATATGTTGAATCTGAGGTGTCTACCAGGCATCCAGGTTGGGTGCAGCTTGTGCTACAAGACCCGTTATTGAGAGAGAGGTCAGGGGAGATGAATAAGTCTGAGAATTGTCTGCATAGAGATAATGATTGAATATGTGGGAGCTGATGAATTCACCCAGGGAAATAGTATAAAGGGAGAACAAAAGGAAAAGAAAATAAGGTCCAAGAAAACAGGATAGTACCAGTTGTATTTTCTTATTGTTATGAAGATCATATGAGAAAATTTATGTAAAGTGATTCACAAATCATAAATTTCCACATAAAAGTTGGATACTGTTATTCACTTTGGACCAAATGAAAGCTGAAATTTTCTATGAGTTTTAGACCTAGGTCAGCCTTGTCTTTGGGAGGAGGGATGGACAAACTGCACAAGAACCATAAGTTTAATTCTGAATCTTATAGGGAAAAGTTACATTAAAACATTTCCACATTTAGGGGCATCTAGATGGAACAGTGGATAGAGCACTGGCCCTGGAGTCAGGAGGACCTGAGTTCAAATTTGGCCTCAGACACTTGACATTTACTAGCTGTGTGACCTTGGGCCAGTCATTTAACTCCATTGCCTAGTCAAAAAAAAATCTCCCCTTCTAATTCTAGATAACAATAGCTTTATTCTCATAAGATTCTAAAGTACTTGCCAAATATTCTAAGCTCACAAAAACTCTTCAATAGACTTTATTCCTATTCAAGGAATGTTGAATTGTTCTAGGTAATTCTGACATACTTTTATGGGTTGAAAAGGACAGCAGAAATATTATCCAATCCATCACTTTGCAGATGAGAAAACCGAACTCTGGAGAGATTAGGAAATGCCTTTCCCAAGTCTCTAATTCCTGTTCTTGGCAGGACTAGGACTAGAATCTTTGTCTCTGGATTCTCCTTATTATTTTCTTTCCCCTAAGCCACATTGGATTGAAGCCTTTCTTTCAGCAGTAAAGGCTTTCTTGGTATTTTAAAACAAAACTAAGAGGATCCTGCACTTCAATGATAGCCCAATGTGGTTTCGTCAAAGCTCATATTTTGACAATTGTTCAGAAGGCCAACATTTCATAATTAATAGATGTTCAGCTGAAAGGCTGACCTTCTGAATGACTGGGCAAGTGCAAACGTAGGAAAAAAATCCACTTTGGACTATTTATTGAAGCCTAAGAGCAGTTATCTTCTGGAATGGAGTACATCTTGGAACTGTGCCTTGGAAATTGGCTCTCTATGTGAGCATTTCACGAAGTCCTTTTAAAATAAAAATTCATGCTAAGTCTTCCATTTGAGTGTTATGCTAAATTTAAAATATGAAACTTTCTAAAAGGGCTCTCATCTACCTTGATCTCTGCCACATCCTGTAAAGGGTCTCAAAGTTCAAACTTTTGGGAATCAGTTATCATCAGGTTTTTTTTCCCCCCATGAATGATTCTTAAATTTTCCTTCCTGACTTAATCTGAAAGAGCCTCTATGCAGATTTCTTCCTGTCCTTTTCCATTCCTTGTCTAGGCTAATTAATCCAATTGGTTAAAACAGGTATTAATGAGGATCTGGTCATGGATTTGACATCATGTTGGTCATCTGGAGAGTTCTCAAGAATACCACTAATTCTTCATTTCAAACCAGTACCATTATAAATAAGAGTAAACACACCAAAATCTGCTGGATCAATACAAATGTATCCCAACTTCTTGGGGATAAAAAAAGAATATACAAGCCACAAGGCCATTGATTGTGGATCAGCAATATTATTTCTATGTATAGAGTGCTGGATCCTCCATCAAGATTTTCAAATTCAATAGGAAAAAAACCCTACTCATCTCCCTGAACTCTCCAGAAAATCCAATTGCTATAAGAAACATTTCCCAGCCCATGAAGGACAATCACATGTCAGGTCTCTTTTCAAGTGACAGATAGGATAATTTCTACAAGCTTCAGGAATGAAAACCATAAGATTCAACAGGAAGAGTTGGGAATTATATGTGGAACATTTGAATAGGAATCAGAAAACATGGATCCTAACCCATCCTTATTATGCATTCTCTGTCTTTAATTTCCTATATGATATTAGGTAGAGCATTTTAACCTGTTTGATCCTCAGATAGATTTTTGGTTTTGTTTTGTCTTTTTTTTCCTTTGTTAAAAATGGAGGTTGGACTAAAACACCCCTAACATTCCTTTTGGCTTTGAGATACCATGAGATGGGAAAATAGGAGCAGTTGGATTGTTATAAGGGGAGGTAATATGATTGTTTTCATGGAAGAATAAATGGATGGATGGAGGGAGGGAGGGAGGGATGGATGGATGGATGGATGGATGGATGGGTGGATGGGTGGGTGGAAAAGCATCCATCAAGCATTTCCTATGTGCAAAGCACTGTTGATATAAAGAGAAAGTCAAGACAATCCCTACGCTCAAGACTTCACATTCTGATAGGGGAGACAACATAGATTTTCAGCTACAAGTCAGAGAAAAAAGCAGACTGGTCTTTTGGGTGCAACAAAAAATCAGATAATTTATCTTCTTTAATATGATTTCCTTTGATAAAACCACTCCTGTATAGAATGCGGAACCATTCAAAAATTCCAGGGACTTTGATGTTGATTTTTGGTTTTTGGTGTTTCTATAGGCTGTTCATGGGCTTTGAGGGAGATGGGACTGTCACATTTGGAGAAGTTGCCAGGTCAAGTCAAGGATTGCTTCTCCAGTCCATGGCTTCCAGAGTAAACTCAGAGCAGAATTGGTGGTGGGTGCTGAGAGGATTGATATTACTGGGACTATTGAACTGCCCTGCACCTAATGGCTCATCATTTGGTGCTGATGGTGTCAGGGATGGAGTGGCTTTCCTCAAGATGTGTATCCTATATGCACTATCCACAAAAAAGAACTGACTGTACCCTGAGGAAACTGGTGAAGAGAAAAATCTCACTCTCATCACGGTCTCGACTGAGCTGTTCTGAATACCATATGTGTGGTACCTGGCACATAGTAAATACCTAATAATTATTTTTCCATGGATTGATTTATTCACTTTGAGATGGAAAGATGGTGGGAGGGACTATTGATTTTGAGCTACTTTTCATGAAAGGCAATGGATTCATCACCTCTGGTTACATTTTTTGCAAGGACATGGTAGGTGTAAGCTGAAACAGAAAGGATTTGTATCAATCATCTGCAGAGCTGACATGTTCTTCTCTTGGACGCCCTCTTTTCTAGGCTGCTGACATCCTGCTACAGCATGGAGCCTATGTAAATGTCCAAGATGCGGTCTTTTTCACCCCTCTACACATCGCAGTGTACTACGGTCACGAGCAGGTAAACTGGTCATCATGTTGTATTACGGATCTCTGTTTGGTTTCTCTTGGAGAAGATGGGGTTAGGACCCTGAAGCATAAGATCTGGACATAAACTGAGTGATGTGGACGGTTAGCGTCACTGTTCTGCCCTGTCCCCTTCCCAGTAACTCAAGCTACTGTGAAACTACTTCCAGTCTTTCCCCATCCTTGCACAGGTCACTTATTCAGTCAGTAAGCATTTATTAAGTGCCTACCACGTCCTAGTGCTAAGACCTAGGGATACAAAGAGAGGCAAAAAATGTTCCCTGCTCTCAAGGAGTTCCTAGTCTGATAGGGGAGACAAGACACAAATAACTGTACAAGTAGGATAAAATTGGAGATCATAAACCAAGGGGAAGGTAATATTAGCATTAAGGTGTGCACAGAAATGCGTGCGTGCACACACGCACATGTACATACACACACACACATGTGCACACACACATGCACAAGCACACACACACATGTACACATGTACACATGCACTACCACCACCACTACCACCATGTGACTCTCCTCATTATTGCAGTAGATTCAGGGGCTAGTCATTAGACTGAGAAGGACCTAGATGTCCCAGGAAGTGTATCCCCATTGAGAGGAGCTATTGGGTGACCACCATGCAAACACACTGAGGAACCTCTCCTAGAAGCCATGGGAAGGAGTACAGTGCCAAGGATAATCCTCAAGGCCTTGAGGCCCTTTTGAACATTGACCGACTTCAAAGGGCTTCCTGGGAAGTGGGGCTGTGACTTCAGCTTCTTGTGTCCAATGTCCTTCATATTGCTTGCCTTTTTCATTCCATGAACTCAGGTAGCTTTCCGAACCTGGACAGCATTTGACAGACCTGAAAATTCAGTGAGAGGGGCACTGCTGCCTCCTGGCTGCCCATAGGTCAGATTGCTGGTGCTGGGAAGTCTCCCAAAAATGCACTGAGCCTACACTGTTCTCACCACACTTCATCCAAATTGAGCAAAAGTGGTGAATTAACTTTGCTTTCTTGTGGTCAGTCTGAACTTAGAGTGAGTACGGACCTGCACAAACATTATAGTTCATCGAACATCTCTTCATTTCTGTCACTTAGGAGAATATGTATAATGCAACAACTGAGAAATGCTTCTATTCAGCTGTCATAGACAATCATCCAGATAATTCTAGCAAGGAAACCTCACCAATTTTCCCTAAATTACATTTCAGGTGTTAGTGCTTAGGTATTCATATGAATTTCTCAGCTCTGATTTTCACGTTGCATGGGCAGACACAGTCATCAGAAAGATATTGTCATGTGATTTGGTGAAATGAGAAAAGATTTGGACCCACAGTCTGCCATCCTCAGTCTGAAACTGAATACCCCATCCACCCACCCACCCACCTACCCATTATACTTCCTGATTCACTTTGATGTTCTGTGATGAAAACTAGAGTAGTCAAAACTTTCTCCTTGGAATTTACCTTAAACTATAAGTAAGAAAATAAGGAAATACAACCCAGGTTAAAACCCAAAGACCAATCTACTGGATCACAAAATCAAAATATGCTTTGGCAATTCCATTTCAACCTTCTCCATTTATGTCTTTTGGCTTACTCAAGGGTAGTCTGCTGTCTTTGGAAATAGACTTCACTGCCCTTCAGGAGAATCTTAGAGTGAAGAGCAAGCCTCTATCTGTGTACTCGGCTGTTCCTTGTTGCTTTTGCCCCCAGAAACAGGCATATGCTTGGAAACTCTCAGACCTGTGAAGCATGACCTCCAGCCAGAGTCGATTTCTCATCTCATTGATGTGTTACTTAGAGTGCACTGGAGTGCACTGAAGAGTCAGGTATTGAAAATGCATTGGAGGGGAGTGGAACCAAGATGGTGGAGAGAAGCCAGGAAGTTTCCTGAACTCTTCCCAGTTTCTTTCAGAAACAACTTTAAATCAAGCCTCTAAAAGAATTCTGGAGTGACAGAATCTACAAAAAGACAGAGTGAAACAGTTTTTCAGCTTAAGAGAACTTAGAAGAATTTCGGGAAAGGTCTGTCTCAGTTGGGTGAAAAGAGAGAGCAGCCCAGTGCAGGCCACATCCAGGCAAACCACTGGGAGACTTTTAGCACAGCACAGATCAGCAACTGAGGCTCTATGACTCTGGCTCAGCAGGCCAGTGGCACAGTAGGCCAGTTGTGAAGCCTCCAGCCCCAGTGTAGCAGGCAAATTGTGAGCCTCAGAATCCAGGTATGACTAGTCTAGGCCACCCTAGTGCAGTAGGCAAGCCATCAGCCCCAGAGGCCCCAGATCAGAAAGCCAGTGGCCAGATCCCTAGACCTCAGTGCAAAGAGCTTGGGACAGTGTCCCCCGTACCCCAGGAGCAAAGCTCAACTTTTAAAAATGAGCATAAAACAAAAAAGAGCCCTGATCAAGAAAGAGAGGCAGAGGGAAAAATGGGGGAAAATGAGAGTTATGAAGGAGTACTATGGAAAAAAATATCAATAGCTTGGAAAAGGAAGCACAAAAATTGACTGAAGAAAACAACTCCTTTACAAGTAGAATTGGCCAAATGGGAAAAAAAAAGAGGTACAAAAGCTAACTGAAGAAAATAATTCCTTAAAAATTGGGCCAGTGGAAGCTATGAGACATCAAGAATCAGTCAAACAAAATCAAAAGAATTTAAAAAAAATAGAAGAAAATGTAAAATACCTCATTGGAAAAACAACTGACCTGGAAAGTAGATCCAGGAGAGATAATTTAAGAATTATTAGACTATCTGAAAGCCATGATGAAAAAGAGAGCACAGACAGCATATTTTAAGAAATTATCGAGGAAAACTGCCCCGATGTCCTAAAACCAGAGAGTAAAATAGTCATTGAAAGAATCCATTGATCACCTCCCAAAAGAGATCCCAAAATGAAAACTACAAGGAATATTGTGGCCAAATTCCAGAGCTCTCAGGACAAGGAGAAAATACTGCAAGTATCCAAAAAGAAACAATTCAAATATCAGGAAGCCACAGGATAAGAGTCAGGATAACATAAGACTTATTGGAGGGATTGGAATATGAGGAAGGCAAAAGAGTTTGGATTACAACCAAAAATCAACTACCCAACAAAACTGAACATAATCTTTCAGGGGAAAAGATGGATGTTCAATGCAATAGGAGTCTTTGAAACTTTTCTGATGAAAAGACCAGAACTCAACAGAAAATTTGATCTTCAAATACAAGACTCTGTTTACAAAAAGGTAAACAGAAAAGAAAAAAAAAAGCATGTGGTACTCAATAAGGTTAAACTGTTTATATGCTTTCATGGGGAGGTGAAACTTGTAACTATCTTTGTTATGGCAGTTAGAAATATACTTAGAGGTTGTGGATATAAGTTGACTTTGATGTGATGATCAAAAAAATAAGGGTTGAGAAAGGATTGTACTGGGAGAAGAGGAAAGGAGAAGGCAGAATGGGTAAATCATATCACATGAAGAGGAATGAAAGATTCATTACAGTAGAGGGAAAGAAGGGAAGGAGTGAACATTGTTTGAACCTTACTCTCATTGGATTTGGCTCAAAGAGAGAATAACATACACACTCAGTTGGGTAGAGAAATCTATCTTCCCTTACAGGTAAGGAGGGGGAAGTATATAAATAGGAGGGGAAAGGGGAAAGAAAAGGAGGGGTCTGATAGAAGGGAGGGCAGATTGGGGGAGGCAGTGGTCAGAAGCAAAACACTGGTGAGGAGGGACAGGGAGAAAGGAGAGAGAAAAACATAAAAATGGGGGAATAGGATGGAGGGAAATACACAGTACTGTGAATGTGAATGAGATGAACTCTCCCACAAAATGAAAGCAAAGAGCAGAGTGGATTAAAAACCGGAATTCTATCATATATTATTTAAGACACACATTTGAAGCAGAGAGACACACACAGATTAAAGGTAAAAGTCTGGAGTAAAAAAAAAAAAGTGGGGGTAGCAATCCTGATCTCAGACAAAGTAAAAAGAAAAAATAGATCTCATTAAAAGAGACAAGGAAGGAAATTACATCTTGCTAAAAGATATCATATATAATGAAGTAATATCAGTACTGAACATATATGCACCAAATGGTATAGCATCCAAATTCTTAAAGGAGAAGTTAAGTGAGTTACAGGAAGAAATAGACAGCAGAATTATACTAGTGGTGGATTTCAACCTTCCCCTTTTGAAACTAGATAAATCTAACCATAAAATAAATAAGAAAGAAGTTAAGGAGGTGAATAGAATTTTAGAAAAGTTAGATATGTTAAACTGAATAAAGAAAACTGAGTGAGGATAAAAACGAATATAACTTTTTCTCAGCAGTACATGGCACCTACACAAAAACTGACCATATATTAGGGCATAAAAACCTCACAGTCAAGTGCAGAGAAGCAGAAATATTAATTAAATACATCCTTTTCAGATCATGATGAAATAAAAATTACATATAATAAAGGGCCATGGAAAGAGATTAAAATTAATTGCAAACTAAATAGTCTAATCTTAAAGAATGAATGGGTCAAACAACAAATCATAGAAACAATAATTTCATCAAAGACAATGGCAATAATGAGACAACATATCAATATCTATGGGACGCAGTCAAAGCAGTATTTAGGGGAAATTTTATATCTCTAAATACTTACATAAATAAAATAAAGAGCAGTTTAATGAATTTGGCATGCAATTTAAAAAGCTAGAAAAGAACAAATTAAAAGTCCCCATCTAAGAACCAAATTAGAAATTCTGAAAATCAAAGCAGAGATTTAAAAAATTGAAAGTAAGAAAAATATGGAACTAAGAAATAAAACTAAGGGCTGGTTTTATTTAAAAAATAATAAAATTGATAAACATTTTCTTAATTTGATTTTAAAAAAAGAAAACCAAATTATCAGTATCAAAAATGAAAAGAGTGAATTCACCCCAATGAAGAGAAAATTAAAGCAATTTTGTCCAACTATGCCAATAAATCTGACAATCTAAGTGAAATGGATGAATGTTTACAAAAATATAAATTGTTCAGATTAACAGAAGATGAAATAAAATACTTAAATAGTCCCATTTTAGAAAAAAAATGAACAAGCTACCAATGAACTCCCTAAGAAAAAATCTCCAGGGCCAGATGGATTTACAAGTGAATTCCATGAAACATCTAAAGAACAATTAATTCCAATATTATATAAACTATTTGGAAAAATAGTCAAAGGAGTTCTACCAAATTCCTTTTATGACACAAATCTGGTGCTGATACCTAAACCAAGAAAAGCCAAAATGGAGAAAGAAAATTATAGACCAATTTCCCTAATGAATATTGATGCAAAATTTTAAATAAAATATTAGCAAAGAGATTATAGCAATTTATCATAAGGATAATATACTATGACCAGATGAGATTTACACTAGGAATGCAGAGCTAGTTCAATAGTAGGAAAACAATTAGCTTAATTGACCATATCAATAACAAAACCAACAGAACTCATATAATTATCTTAATAGATGCAAAAAAAAAGCTTTTAACAAAATACAGCACCCATTCCTATTAAAAACACTAGACAGTATAGGAATAAATGACACTTTCCTTAAAATGACAAGTAGTATCTATCTAAAACCATCAGCAAGCATTGTATGAAATGGGGGTAAGCTAGAAGCTTTCCCAATAATATTGGAGTAAAACAAGGATGCCCATTACCACCATTATTATTTAATTTTGTATTAGAAATGTCAGCTTTAACAACAAGAGAAGAAAAAGTCATGGAAGGAATTAATTAGACTAGGTAATGAGGAAACAAGACTATTGCTGCTTGAAAATGATGTGATGGTATACTTAGAGAGTCCTAGAGAATCAACTAAAAAATTACTTGAAATAATTAACAACTTTAGCAAAGTTGCAGGATATAAAATGGCCACATAAATCATCAGCATTTCTATATATTGGCAACAAAGTTCAGGAAGAAGAAATAGAAAGAGAAATCCCATTTAAAATAACTGTAGACAATATTAAATATCTGGGAGTCTACTTGCGAAGACAAACCCAGGAACTGTATGAACACAATTACAAAACATTTTTCACACAAATAAAGTCAGAGCTAAGTAATTGAAAAAATATCAATTGCTCATGGGTAGGCAGAGCTAATATAGTAAAAATGACAATTCTACCTAAATTAATTTATTTATTCAGTGCCATAGTAATCCAATTACCCAAAACATATTTTATAGAGCTAGAAAAAATAATAACAAAATTCATCTGGAAGAACAAAAGGTCAAGAATATCTAGAGAATTATTGAAAAAAAAAGCAAATGAAGGTGGCCTAACTGTACCAGTTCTAAAACTCTTTTATAAAGCAGCAATTATCAAAACTATTTGGTGCTGTCTAAGAAATTGAGTGGTGGATCAATGGAATATAATAGGAACAGAAGACACAGTAGTAAACAATTATAGTAATCTACTGTTTGGTAAACCCAATGACTCCAGCTTTTGGGATAAGAACTCACTATTTGGCAAAAATTGTGAAAACTGGAAAATAGTATGGCAGAAGTTAGGCATAGATAAGCATCTCATTTCCCATACTAAGATAAGGTCAAAATGGGTACATGATTTAGACATAAAGGGTGATACCATCAGTAGACTAGCAAGGAATAGTTTACCTGTCAGATCTATGGAGAAAGGAAGAATACATGGCCAAACAAGAGATAGAGAACATCATGAAATGCAAAATGGATCATTCTGATTACATTCAATTCAAAAGTTTTTGCATAGACAAACCCAATGCAACCAAGATGAGAAGGAAAGCAGAAAGATGGGAAACAATTTTTGTAGTTAATGTTTCTGATAAAGGCCTCATTGATTTAAATTTATAGGAATACAAGTCATTCCCCAAATGATAGTCAAAGGATATGATCCAGCAGTTTTCAGATAAAGAAATTAAAACTATCTATAGGCATATAAAAAAAAATAGTCCAAATCACTACTGATTAGAAAAATGCAAATTAAAACAACTGTGATGTACCACATCATGCCTATCAAATTGACTAATATAACAGAAAAGGAAAAATGATAAATATTGTAAAACATTTGGGAAAATTGGGACAGGAATGTATTCTTGGTGGAGTTGTGAACTGATGCAACCAATCTGGAGAGCCATTTGGAACTATGCCCAAAGGGCAATCAAACTGTGCATTTCCTCTACTTGCTCTGTATTCCAAAGATATCATAAAAAAGGGGAAAGGGCCTACATGTACAAAAATATTTATAGAAGCTCTTTTTGTGGTGACAAAGAATTGGAAATTGAGAGGATGCCCATAAATTTGGGAAAGGCTGAACAAGTTGTGATATATAAATGTAATGGAATACTATTATGCTATAAGAAATGATGGGCAGGAAGATTTCAGAAAAACCTGGAAAATTCTTACGTGAACAGATGCTGAGGGAAGTGAGTAGAACCAGGAGAATATTGTACACCGTAACGGTAACATTGTGTGATGATCAACTGTAATTGACTTAGCTCTTCTGAGCAATACAATGATCCAAGACAATTCTAAAGGACTCATGATGGAAGATGTTGTCCACATTCAGAGAAAGAACTGTGGAGTCTGAACGCA